TTTAGGGTTCAGGGTTTAGGGGTCAGCGTTTAGGGTTTAGGGTTCAGGGTTTACAGGGTTTAGGGTTCAGGGTCTAGAGTTCAGGGTTCAGGGCTTAGGGTTTAGGGTTTAGGGATTATACGGGACTTCGGGGCGGGAGTCAGGGCTTTGGGGGCTTTGGGGGCTGTGGTGCCACCAAGTGCCCCATAATAGAGCCCTTATATATGGTCCTTAGTAGTGGGTACTTCGAGTTTTTTATAGAGGGAATTTGGGGAGTGCTGGTAGATCTTGGGGTTCAGGGTCTGAGTTGGGGGTTGTAGGGTTTAGGGATGGACCAAATCCTGTAGTGTCCCATCACAAGACTGTCGATCCATGTTGCCCAAGTTGAAAGTCGCGGTTTCTGCACAGCAATGGAAATCCGATCGGTTTGAGGGCAAGGATCTGCTACTAAAATCAACAGTAGTATTAGTAACAGCAACAAAAACAATAATGTAATATACCTGTTATGAAGCATTATGATACAGTTGTTCTATGACAATACCTATTACAATTGATATTGGTTAGGTTGGCAGTATGTGAACATGCGGGAGGCGTCTCCCTCGGACTTGAAATTGACGCGGGTGCCGGTGGTAGTCGAGTCGCCGGTGTCGCCTGTCTCCCCAGTCTCCCCGCCGGCGTTGAGACGCCGTCAGCTCGAGGCTGGATGCAGCTCTATCGGAGAGCTCGCCGGAATCAATGTTGATTTTGGGGTCTCACGTGAGGCGTGAGGTGCAGGGCACGCTGATCATCAGGGATGACCTGGAGCAGCAGACGTCTGCAGCGCAGAAGCAAGGTCTATATGAGAACATGCCCCGGGTTGCCCTTTGCATGGAGGCATCATGGAGGTCGACCGTTGTATTCCGTATGTTTATTCATATTTTGTCCATCAGCAGTGCTTTTTTTGCTTTTTTGGGGAGTTAGGGAACAATGTTTCGAGCACTTGAGGTGTTCAGAGTTTTAGCGTTCAGGTGTGCGTGCGGACAGTTAGAGTACTGTATACTGTATAACAAATTTAGCACTGCAGACTATGTAGCCCTGAGCCTTTCTGCTGTTTCTGCTGGGATACCAGAGACCCCACTCTCTCTCCATTGTATTCTAAAAAGGAAGGCGAAGCATCTAAGACAGACACTATAATTTAAAAACCTCGTAGGAACTGTGTGGCAGCAACTGAAAGCACGCAGCTATGCTTAGCTTACGGGAAAGCCACAAACCTTTCCCTGTATGGGTCCCAATGGTAACCCAAAGACGTTTCAATACAAGCTTTCTGCGGAGACCCTTGAACCATCATACAGCACCTGAACCCTAAACCCTAAACCCTTGAACCATCATACGACACCAAAAGATCCTGAGTAGAGACGTCACAGCTTTGGTTTGTAGAGACCAGAGACCCCCAGGCCTCCAAGGCTTGGCTCTGTAGGGTTTAGGGGTTTAGGGTTTGGGGGTTTCAGGATTCAGGCTTTTTGCGGGTTTAGTGTTTCTTGGGGTTTAAACCCTAAACCCTAAAACCCTATAAACCCTAAACCCTAAACCCTACTAACTGTTAAGAAACCACGAAGCATCCCAGGCTGGGCGAGCGCGCAGAGCACCTCTGCTCCTCCGACCGCGGGGAGCGGCCCGCAGGTCCAGGATGGTGCGGGGAGGCCCACAGATAGCTCGGGAATTTAGGGATTTAGGGTTTAGGGTTTAGGGATTTAGGGTTTAGGGTTTAGGGTTTAGGGTATAGTCTGGGTTCTTGTTACGGGATTTAATTTAAGTTACCATAATAGGGGTCTATAGTAAATAATATGGTTTCCTTATTATGGTAACTTAAATTAAATCCCTTAACAAGAACCCAGTAGTTCGGGGATTATGGCTTCGGCTTCAGGGGTTTAGGGTTTAGGGATTTAGGGTTTAGGGTGTGCGGTGTAGGGTTTGGGGGTTTAGGGTTTAGGGTGTACGGTTTAGGGCTTTAGGGGTTTAGGGCTTGAGGGATTTAGGTTTTAGGGTGTAGGGTTTAGCGTTTTGGGTGTGTAGGGCCACAGTTCAGGGTTCTGGGCTCTTTTGTGAGAGCCGCCTTAGGGCTTCCTAAGAGGGTTTAAAGGTGTTGTCCATCTTTTTGTGGTTTGCCACAGGGTGTTTGTGTACAGGTTTTTCAGTAGGGTTGACAAGTATAGGGGCCCTCAATGGGCCCTCAATGATTAGACTAGGATTTGGGAGGTTGTTATATGGAAGAATCATAAAGGGGTTCGACGCAGATATCATCAGCCATTTTCAGACCTCTACAGCAGGTTTTCTTTGAGGGATCTGTAAAGGATACAGATGCAAAGTTTTGGAAGCGTAGGCGTTTTAGAGGCTTTGGGATTTGGAGTGTAACGGCTTACAATACCCTGTCCGACTGTTGGCGTCTTAATTTTCAGGTTCTGGAGCTAGGGCTTAAAGCGCTAAACCCTAAACCCTAAACCCCTTTCTTGGGGTTTAGGGTTTAGACTTTCGGGCCCTTTGAGAAGGCAAGAAAGAGCTTGGTCCGACCGTTGCGTGTTTCCGACTTGGCTGCTGCTGCTAAGAACAAGGGCTCAAGTAATCACCATACTACATTGGCGCTCCTTCTATATATATATATATATATTATATATATATATATAGTATAAGCCCATCAAGCCGAATCAGTAATGGCGCAAGCCGGGGAGTGACAATGCAAACCTTCGTCAGTGATGGCCTAAGCTTGGGGGGGACTTGGGGCGCAAGAAACTCAGCCACTCCTAAAGCCGTGTGGCCGTGAACACATCCCTCCTCAGTCGCTCAAAAGACTACAGGCGATGAAGCAAAAGCAGCAGATACAAGTGGCGGCAGTCGCTACAGTGAAAGGTATTCCATACTGTTGGTACGATCCGGAATCAGATTTGTTATTTTTCCTTAAGGTCGGAAGTCATATTCGTTTATTTCTTGTTACGATCAGAAGTCTGGTTTTTCCTTCTTGGCACACAGTGATGCCGAGCATTTCCAGCAGCACCTACAGCAGGCGCCTGCAAGTTTTAACCAATATAGGGGCCTTAATAGTTAGAATAGGGCCAGAATAGGATTTTGGGGTATATCATATTATAATGATTATAAGGAACCCCCAACAATAGTATTGGTAATTGGGCCCCTACATCAGCCACATCGAACAAAATCCGAAGCGTTGTCAGTGGTCCTGCGTGATCAAACCCCGCTGCACCGGCGCCCGAGCTTTCGCAGACGTGCCGGGGCCCCGACGGTGACGTCGGAGCCGGTCATCTTGAACTCCTGCCTGGGACTTGTGCATGGGTTTAGGGTTTAGGGTTTAGGGTTTAAGGTTGGGCATGAAATGAGGATGATGGTGACTATGTATATGACGAGGGTTGCTGTGAGGATGGTGCCCGCCCAACCTGAAATCCTGGTCCCTGGTTCTCCCCCCCAAGCTCTCAAGCTGGATCTCAATGCCATTGTGATGTCCTAAACCCTGAACCTCAAGCGGTAGCCCCCAAACTCTAAACCCTAAGTCCTAACTCAAAGAGTTGTCCAAGCCCGCTACTCCCCTAAACCCAAACCACCCCAAACCCTAAACTTTCTAGCAGTTGCCAGCAATCATAAAACCAAATGCCGTCAGGGCTTGCTGCAACCACGGCGTCCGCGTCTTCCACATCGCCTGGGACCTACATCTGGATATGCTAGGTTTAGTGTTGGGTTTAGGGTGCAAGGGGGCAGAGTTGCAAGCTGCAAAGTTTAACTAGTCTGATCGATTCATGCACAAATCCTAGACCTAACAGCAGGTCGTCAACGCGAAATTCCGAAGCTTTGAAGCTCGAAATCCTTAACTAAACAGCCCTAAACGCCAGACTCTTCTAGAACCTCCCAACTGCATCTGAATGTTTTTAAGGAGCCTTACCCTAATCCCAAAACCCGGAACACGCCCCCAAAGGCCTCCAAGAAGCCCTTGCGGCCGCGGCGCCCACGATCTCCGCGGAACAAGAGCGCCTCAGCCGGTTTTAGGGTAAAGGGCTGATTCGGGTTTAGCGCCTAGCGGTTCGGTCTAGGTGTGTAGGGTTGCGGATTTAAGGTATAAAGGCGTTAATTGTTTAGGGGTTTCGCATCTAGGATCTGGGCTCACAGTTGAAGAGGTTTCATAGTTTAGTTTAGGGCCAAAGGAGCACTTTACGGAACTTTGTGATCCTAAACCCTAAACCCTAAACACTAAACCCTAAACCCTAAACCCCAAACCCTAAACCCTAACCCCGCCTTGTCAAAAGCGCTCTGTCATTAATTGCTTAGGGCTTTTGCTTCGGAGAGCAGCTCCGAACCGTTTGGGCCGAGGGTTTTGGGGGTCTTAGGGCCTAGGGTTTTCGGATTTAGGGGTTTAGGGTTTAGGGTTTAGGGTTTAGGGTTTTAGGGTTTAAGGTTTTGCGGTTTAGGGTTTAGGGTTTAGGGTTCAGGGTTTAGGGTTTAAGGTTTTGGGGTTTAGGGTTTAGCGGTTAGGACTGTTGCCTTGTTGGGATGTAGGGCTGCAGAGCTTTGGGGTTTAGGCCAGGGTTGAGGGCTTTTGAGTAGGTGGGTAGGGGTTTTAGGATTGAAGTAGCTGAGTTGCCGGGCTTTGTATCTATTCCGACGATCATCAAATGGCCCACTCTTTTGCAGGCCTCGGAACTCAGAAAGCAGGCCTGCATTGCAATACCAAAACGGTCCCAGGTGCCTATATAATTTAGTAGAAAGTAAGTTTTCTATAGCAGGAAATACAGGTATGGTTTTGGTAAGTAAGTAGCCCCCCCTATGGGTACTTAGGTTCGCTTTGGGACAAGCTTCAGAACCTGAGGTGTGCATACCGGAGGACTCGTAGAAGCCAACACCTAAACTAGACTCGAAACCTTCAGCACTAAACTCCTAAATGGCGGGCCTCAAGCTTTGTAGCATCCCTAAACCCTAAACCCTAAACCCCATTTCTGTGCCTGGCGCCAAGGTTTCACGAAGCCAACCCCCGTCAGGACAGCTTGGAGCTGTCGAGATTCGGAGTTGGCCTCTTGATTCGGGTATAGCGGAAGCTGGCTACAGGGGGGACTCTAGAGTTTAGGAGTAGGGTTTAGGGTTTAGGAGTAGGGGTTTAGGGTTTAGGTTTTAGGGGTTTAGGGTTCAGGAGTAGGCATTGAGGGTTTAGGAGTAGGGGTTTAGGGTTTATAAGTATTGCTGCTGGGAGGTTTCAACAACCAGCAACTATTCAATGGGCCGGGCAGAACATCGGGGGGTCCGCGACGACAACACCAGTCCAAATTACTCGAGGAGTAGGATGCACAACTACAAACGACCCGAAAAGTGCCCCGAAGCAAGATAAACCCTAAACCCTAAGCCCTAAGCCCTATAAACCCTAAACCCTAAACCGATACCCCCCAAATCTAGGAGCCCCCAAATCGCCCGTTTCCGCATGCAGGAGGATCGTGGCGCCACCGCCACAGCCCTTGGGCTGCGCAGCACTGGTCAGGTGCCAGGACTTCTGCCGTGCCCTGGCTGCTTAGGGTTGAGATGGGCCTAGGGTTTACCTGGGGATCCAAAATCCTACCGTTTCAAGGGTTATGCCCTCTAATTAAGGGGTCATGACCTACTATTTTGTAGGGTTTGGGGTCACAGGTAGAGTCTAAGGGTTTAGGGTTCAGGGTTTAGGGCTTAGGGTTGAGATGGGTCTACCCATGGGCCCCATAGTAGTTCCTTCTTTGGGAGTACCTTATAGGATTCTAAACATGAACCCCAAAAAGGAACTACTATGGGGCCTATGGGTAGGGTTTAGAGGGTTTCTAGTGGTTTCTAGGGGTTTCTAGGGTTTAGAGGATTTCGGGTTTAGGCGGCGCTGGCTGCCATGGCTTCCAGGAGGGTGTCGTCGCCAGGTCACTGAGGCATACATCGCACACGGGTCACGCTTGATTCTTCGGAAAGACTTGGAGGTTCATGGGTAGTTATACATGGGGTTATAAGTAGGGTAGCGATAGTTGTGGCCCGTATAGAGTTATAAGTAGAGTAGCTATAGTTAGTTATAGCCCATATAGAGTTATAAGTAGGGTAGCTATAGTTATGGCCCATATAGTATAGTGTGACTTGTAACCCCACTTGTGAACACCTGAGGGTGTTGGAGGTCGGATCTTTGCTGAGGTTCTCGGTGGCTGACAACAAAAGTCAGTTTTGCGCATCCTTGGCCGAGAACTAGAACTGAATTAACATGGATCCTTGGAGGTTCATGGGTGGACCCAGGTAGCACTAGAAGTTTTAGGTGCTTGAAAGGAAGTCTCATGTAGTTCCAAGTTATAACTTAGTAGTGATCCGGTGGCCGATATCCTTAACCTTACACCGACAACCTAGATGGAGCCTTACACAACCCGTATACCAACCCACATGCAGACCCTATAGTAGCGACTGAGGCCTTCTAAACCTTGAAACTCAAGCCCAAAACTGGTTTGATCCCCACATCCGTCCCGAAACCCAAACCCGAAATCCTAAACTCTAACCCTCAAGCCCTCATCACGGACACCTGCGAGCATGAATCTAATCTCAATCCTGCAAGTTATAAACCCTAATTCCATTCTATTAACAACGCCCCTAACCCTAAAGGCCCAAACCTCTACACATTTTGTCTGTCTCCTCCAGACCCCTGCTAGACCGTTGCCGAGGGCCCTTGGAACAACCTTAAAGAACCTAGGTACATTTCTGCAGAACTGCCTTCAAGATGCGAAAGAACTTGTAAACATCCTATAAATGTTTTTGGACTAGTCCAGAAACATCCTAAAATTTCGCGTAGTAGAGCCCCCACCACACTTTAACAGAACCCTCCAAAAAGCTTAATGGTATCCGGGAAGCATCTTATGAGGTCCCCTTACTGTAATAGAACCCTTACCACACCGTGATGGAGTCCTGACTACTATTACTTCCACTACTGCTACTACTACTACTACTACTACTACTACTACTATTATGCTTACAACTACTGCTACTGCTACTACTACTACTACTACGACGACGACTACTACTACTACTACTACTACAGCCCAGGGCGCGCCGGGAGTTTCGAGGTTCCCTCGCCGGAACTCCGGCGCTCTGCGCTGGGCGGCACCGGAGGGCGGGGACTCCCGGGTTCTTTGTTCTTTGTTCGTTTGCTTGGTTAGCAAGATAGATTAGATTTGATTAGGTTAGGTTAGATTAGGTTAGGTTAGATTAGGTTAGGTTAGGTTAGATTAGGTTAGGTTAGATTGGATGGGGTTAGGTTCGGTGAGAGTAGATTAGGTAGATAGATAGATGGATAGATAGATAGAGAGCCAGATGCACAGACCTATAGGTAGATAGATAGATAGACCAAAGGTGGACAGATAGTTGGGGGAAGGTAGGTCGATAGAAGCGAGCAAGAGACAGATTGGCAACTAGTAAGATCGACAGTAAGATAATAAGACAATAAGATAGCTAGATAGTTAGATACTAGATAGGTAGGTAGATATATAGATAGATAGACCGATCGATAGATGGCTTCAAAAGCCTAGGGTTACGGTCCCTAACAGGGGCTCTCGGGGGGGTTCCTGAAGCATCCAGGTTTTGCGGATTTGGGAGACCATGCCTTGTGATGTAGAGTTCCGCGAAGATCCCCAAACACACTGATGAGAATATCGATAGTACTAATAAGTACTAATACTAGTCACAGTAGTGTCAATAGTATGATTCTACTAATACTTTAATAGTACCAATAACATTCTTCATATGAATAACAGCAATACCTATCTTATATGAACTATCATACTATCCTAGCAATAGCTACCAGTAGCTGTTGTCGTCGACACCGACGCCTCGACTGAGGGCTCCGTGAGGTTCCTTGTTACCGTGAAAGCCTTATTCTGAGTTCCGTCGGGCCCCTGTTTTGGGGGTTTGGGTTTGGGGTTTAGGGTTTTAGGGGTTTAGGGTTGAGGGTCCTAAACCCTAACCCTTAAACCCCAAACCTTTACGCTGAACCCCTGCACCCTTCCCAGTTAAACCTTAAACCCCCTCTAAAGGGCCCGTCCACGGTCGCGTTCTCGCACAGGATACCGTTTATCATGCCCTAATACTTAAACCCTAAACGCCCGTTGATGATGCCCTAGTCCCTAAGCCCTTAAACGGCCCTAAACCCTAAGCCCAGGATACCCTTTATGATGCAGCGTGTTCTCCAGTTTGCTGAGGCCGGGGGCCGGACATGGCTTGTGTGTGACTGGTGACAATACTTTAAAGGGTTTAGGGTTTAGGGGTTTTAGGGTTTAGGGTTGAGGGTGTAGGGCAGTTTAGGGCTTAAGGTTTAGAGGGTTTATGGGGGTTTAGGGTTTGGGAGTTCAGGGTTTAGGGGTTTACGGTTTAGGGGTTTATAGGGATTTAGGGTTTAGGAGTTCAGGGTTTAGGAGTTTAGGGGTTTAGGGGTTTAGACGTGACACAGAAGAAAGAACCTTACTAGGAGGTTCATGGATAGTTACAGGTGGGGTTAGAAGTCGTTACAGGTGGGGTTAGAAGTCCCCTCACATGGATTATAACTCTCGTTCCCCTACTGAAAACCCAACTTATAACTACCCATGAACTCCAAGTAAGGAGCCTTATGGCCTCAGAGTGGGTATGGGAGAGGGGGCTCAGGACGACACATCCTTAAGAAGGCCTGTTCAACCCGGTATCAGGTCCAAACTAGGGGTATTTCAGGCCCCTGCCCCCCGCCCTCGTAGCCTTCTAAGTTCAGTCCCCTAAACCCTAAACCCTAAACCCTAAACCCAAGCTTGGTTTGGAGTCACGCTGCCGCCCCGAGTCTTTCGAGCCAAGCTTGCACGCTGCATTTTCAAGATGTGGGCAGTTCTCCAGATTAGGGTCCCTGTTTGAGTCTCCAGTGTAGTACGGCACTCTTATAAAAGGACCCTAAAAGGGACCCTAATTCAGAGAACTAGCCATGTGCGTTTAACCCTAAGTCCTAAGCTATAGACCTCGAATACAAGGATCGGTATCGTCAGGACGCCTGGATGGAGCCGCTAAATACCAGAAGCCCGTAAGCTAAACATGGCCCATAGCACGGAGCCCACAGAATCAACCATTTAAATTAATCCCCTTGGAACAGTAGTGTGGATAATGCTGGCAAGAAGAAGCAACCCGAAACCCTAAAACCCTAAA